GGCGGCGGCCAGCCACAGAGAGACCGGCCAGAGCGGCGGTCATAGAGCAGCGAGCTAGACCGCACCGGGCGGGCCGCCCCTGGCGGCGCGGCGGCTTCACTAGCGCCCTCAGGAGGCCGAGAGAGCAGCGCCGCCCGCGGAGCGCGGCGGATCCGAGGGACGCGGGTTCGAGACCTGCTCCCGGCGGGTGGGGGGTAGAGGTGGGGTTTGGGGGGGTCCCGTGTGCTCCGGAGGAGTTTCTGCTGTCTGCACCGGGGCTTAGCTGTATTGCCCGGGAAGCATACATATACATACAGGTACACCCATATATAGATATACACACACAGCCATGTATACACAGACACGTACATCCCCCCCATATATACATATATGCACACAATACATATAAACACACAGTTATATATGTATTTTATACATATGAAGGGCAAATGAGTGCTCAGCGCCAAAAGGCATCCCCACTGCTTGGGGCAAGGGGTGCCCTGTCTGCCTTGGGATGGGTTTTATCACCCCGCTCCAGCCCTTTCCAGCAGTTTTCCAGCTGATTTAGGCAACGGGAAGGAGCAGGGAGAGGGAACGTCCCTGTGCGCGCTGGCACAGGCAGGCCCTGTCTTACAGGGTTGCCGAAGCGCCTGTCTGAGCATGGAGGAGAAAGGCTGAATTAGGATATTTAGGTCAGAAACTCTTTTCAGCCTAATTTTACTATGCAAATTCAGGGCAAATCAGCTTGAGAAAGAAGTCAAGTTTTTCCAGATCAGGTAATAGATTCCCATAGCCTGAACCGTTCTGCTGTCCCCACACTGAGCAATAACCAGCACCCACAGCACTGCCTTCCCTGCAGCAACACAGCCAGAAATTCAGGACATCGCCGTCACCTTGCTCGCACGCTGCCTACCTCAGCGGCGAACCCGGGAGCCGAGGAGCTGCCACCCGAAGCTCAGCCGTGCCCCGTACCACGCTGTCCTCCCAAACCTATCCAGCTCTTTCCCAAGAGGGCATAAAACTCCCACAGCTGCAATTAGCTGATTGCCAAGGAGAGAAAATCCCCCCAAGTCACCGCTATGCCTGAAAGCCTGGGATAGGTAGATTTGGAGGAGCACAGCCCACACGTCGTTGCCTTTCCCCGGTCTCTTCCTGACTGACCAGCACCGTCCCTGTTGAATCACGGTCCCATGACTGCTGCCCAGTGACTAAGTGCAAAAGCAGAGTTTCTTCTGTCATTTCCTGGGGGCCACGGCAAAGATGCACGCTGGGTGCGTGGCTGGTCTCACGCCGAGGCAGATGCAGGGTTCAAAGCGGGCTGTTCCCTTTCTCATCCTCCTGCTAGTTAGGGGAAGGAGGCAGCGAGAAAGCCCCCTTGGTTCAAACATAACCAAAGAGGTTTCTGTTTGGGTCTTCCCCCGCTCCACACTCTCCGTGAGAGCTTTGCTTCCCCTACAGAACCTCAGGTAGAGAAATAAAATAGTAGCACACAGTTTTGGTTGAAACTTGGGGGTACCAGCTCTTTCTTCACAGCTTCAAGACACATAACAAGCAAAACTTTCTGCTTGTAAGGACCAGCCACATCAGCACAAGTCTCCACTGGACAGGACAACCATGTTCCTCCTCGCCCCAGCCAGCCAGGCTGCAATCCCTGGGGCCAAACCTCCCCTCCCAAGCTTGGAAAGCCCAGAAGTGCAAATAAATACACAACTTTAAAATACATTTATTTTTACAGAAAACTGTTCAATGGTACAGCTCACGTTGCTTTGGCACATTCCCCTCCTTGGGCAGGACCCACTGGGAGGACAGTATTTCCCGCAGCCACGTGCACAGGGCTGCAGTGGCTGGGTGGCCATGATGGAAGAGGTGAGACCCACCCTGTAAATCACAGCCCTGGGAGCACTGGGGGCTCGGTGGTTTCGCAGGAAGCACAGCTCAGAGATGTGCAAAACAAAAATCTGTGCTGAGACCTCTTGGGAAACCAAAATGCGCCTTCACATACCCCTTTCAGCTGCCCCTTCCTTACAGCAGCTATTTGCTCAGAATACAGGGCTGTACAGTGTTATGTCTACTCTGGAGAAATTAGAACCCAAATTCTGGCTAACTCAGATTCCTCTTTGCCCAGCACAGCCTTAGAAGGCTCCAGGAGCTGTACTGCTGTGTTATTAGCTTAACAAGCATGCCCTGATGAGTCCCAGCCCCCAAAACCTACATCAGCAGCCTTGGAAGTGCAAGCCATAGCTCAGCTCACCTGCCAAGGAGGTTTCTCTCTAAGCAGAGGGCAAGGGTGACTAGGGCATCTGGGATCAAGAGGAGAGGCCACGCTCCGTCCCAGCCTCCCATCTCCTTCCTGGCACCGCATGAGCCCCCAGGAGGTTGCCCAGAGCAGATAAGAGCAGCTGGAAAGCACTGGAGCAAGGAGACATTATTTTAAACTTCACCACATGCAATTGAGTAGTAGGTCCTTGAGCATTAGACAGGGCCAGCTGGTGTCAGTCAGGACTCATCCACACCAGCTGATCCAGATCATAACCATCAGTTAACAGCAATTGTTTATGCAGCACAGTAGTGCCCCCAAAATACCAGCAGCTCCCTACAGGGTCTGGTGTTACTCTGGGGAGGTGGCAGATCAAGCATCCAATTATGTCCCAGCTCATCAACAGCATGTCCCAACTCCAGTCCTGCTAGGGACTAAACCTCAAAATTTTAATTAAGTTAACAGCAGTCACCATTAATTGAATTCCAGCTCTCAACAACCACAGCAGTGTACAACATTTTTTTATTTCAGAACCAAGACCACAGTGGACTGCCCAAGGACTATCGGGCAGCGAGTTATGGGGGAACAAACCCAGCATGAGGAGTCATGGGTTTGTGCAGGGACTTGCCAGCTGGTCCCAGGCCAACACCTTAGGGCAGGGCTGGCTCTGCTGGTTGAAGACAAGCCTGCAGCAGAGGAGAGAACCCGGTTGTCATGCTGCCCACACAGCCCAGCCACTGCAGGCAGCATCTGCTGAGGCAAGGAGATCTCCGCGGAAACCCACACTCATTTTCCCTGCAGCACAGAAGAGCTTCTTCGTGTTGGTCCTTCCCAGGGCTGCAGGATTCTGAGGCAGTCTGTAAAACCTTCAGCGTGCTTGTCTGCTTTTTTGCAGCTCTCTTGGACCTTGACATTTGCTTTTCCACCCACATCAGAGCCCCTGTGTCGGTGTTGCTGGGCTCAGCTCCTGCACATCACCACTTCCAATATCCAGCTCCACCTGTATCCCTGTTGGCTGCAAGGAGAAACAGAGAGGAGCTTCACCTCACACTGCTGGGACTCTAAGGGCAAACTTGTACATCACTCCATCACCTGCCCCAGAGCCAAAAATCCCCAATTACATCCCCTTGACGATTTCTTTCTGCTGGTGCCCTCATTTTAAGTGGGTCTGCTGAACACAGAGACACAAATAGAGAATGCAATTTAGTAAAGATAGAACATCTTGCTCCGAGAGATCCCCAGACACGCTGTTATTTAGCACATCCAGGATGTGTTTTGCTGTCCAGCATGCCACCACATCCAAACCCATTTGGATGAGGCCACAGAGCAGGCTCAGAGCCAGGAGGCCCAGGCAGCACTGCCCTGTACATAGGCAGGATTCAAGCCAAAGTCACCTCTGCAGGTGTCGGAGCCAGCTCTGCCCACGTGCAATCAGGAGAGCGAGACAAACACAAGGAACACAATGACCTGGATTGGAAGTGGTGCCACTCATTTAACATGCCTATAAAATACAAGCTCAGGCTGTTGGGAAGAGACGCTCTTCTCTTCCATAGCATACAACCAGGCTGGTATTTGCTCCTCTTCCATTGTCATGGGTCACCCAGTGAGGCCTGATCCTGCCCTACCCCAAGAAGGAGCCTCCCTCTGCTCCAAAGCCAGGTCCATGTCATATAGCTTCTCCTCCATTACCAGAAGGACTGGTCCAGGGAGCCTCACCTGCCGGGATGACTTTGCCAAGGAAGCAACACGCTGCGTGGTGGCTTTCTCCCAGGTGGTTTCTTTGCTCTCCAGCAGCACCCGAGTGCTGGGCACAAAACTCCAGGAGCGGCCGAGGGCTGGCTTCAGTGGACCAGTGCTGCTCTCCCTTGTCACCTGGTTAGTCACCTGCAACACAAACAGGCTAATTGGTGCCTGGGAAAAGCAGTGCCACTCAGTGTAATGAAACACCAGAGATCACTGGGAGATAATGGCCAGACTGCTACTTCTATGAAGTTTTTTCTTCTCCATCCTGGGCCCTCCTTCTTAGCACACCCATGCCATCCCCTCTAAACGTATCCCACGCAACCGTCCCAGACATGTACTCAGGTAGAAGCTCACTCCTATCTGCAAGCTGCAGTGACTCCTGCTGCTGAAGCCACCTGCAAAGTTTAACCCAGAGCCTCCAAGCATCCTTCCAGGCACCCCATCCTTGTCACTTTATTGCTAATCAGAGCAAAGGGCAGGACTGTCTCAATGCCTTCCAGTGCCAGGTTCAGCAGACCACCATTTTCTGTTGTGGCCTTCCCAATTCAAACACCTTAATTGTGGTTCCAGCAACTTGTCCGGGTACATTGAAGCAAATGCAATTGCTTGGCTGAGAGCTGGGGAGGACTAGAGCAGGGCCCCCTTCCAGTCCCCAGCTCCTTCTGGATGATGCAATGCCCTGCAGTTCCTCCAAGGTAAGTAAGCAAGAGGTTACTTAGTAAGCTGGCCAGCCCCTTAAATGAATGGTGTTATATCAAAAATAAATACAAACAACCTTTTAATCTGTCTGTACTTAACTCTACCTTGCTCAATCAAGTGAATGCCTTGTTGGCTGAGGACACCAATAAAAGCAGGCACCAAATCAGCCCTGTTCTTGCTCCACACTCGCTGGAACAAGATATCTGCAGGCTGCAGAGAAGCAGAGCTACATCAGGGAGCAGAGCACCGTGGGATACAGGCCTCTTGCTCCTGATTAGCTGGGAGCTGGGTCCCCCCCTCCCAAGGGCTCCAAAGCCTCTCCAGGGCTCCTCGCCATGGCACATGCCAGCACGCAAAGGACAAGGTGCAGCAACACTCACCACAACGGCAAGGCTGAACTCCTTGGCTAGTGTCTTCAGCTCCCTGGCCAGCTGCATCATGATGGCCAAACCTGGTGGAGGACAAAGCTTTGGGTGTTTGGGGATCAACCCCCAAAGTGCATTTTGGAAGCAGGTGACATCTAGATTTGCATGAGCACTAGATTTAGTGCCAGTGCTGGTGTTCATGGACACCTTCAACCCATTTCCATTACCAGCACCCCAAAGACCCATTACAACTGCACGCTCCAGGGCACCTTGGCCAAATGGATGTTGCATGGACAGAGCTATTCCCAAGTTGTCCCACCCCCTCCTTTCCCATCTTAGAAGTCCTGAGGCCAAAAAACCCTACAAAAGCACCAGGAGATCCAGACAAAGCTGGCCAATTTGATTCAACAGGTACAGGACTCCAGCTCACAGGTTCATTTCCTACAGCCCATGGCTTCAAGGGGACCTCCTGTGATAGCACTGCCTGCCACCCAGGTGTGCAAAACCCTCTGGAAGGTGTTTGAGGGGCCTCCTTGGCATCTCAGCCAGCAGAAAGCCCCTCACTCCTGATTTATGGTCCTTTCTGGCAGAAAGAGCCTCAGGGGAGCTTTGCAAACTGTGCCAGCAACCATGATGTATCTGTGACACTGTAAGCAGAGGTTTTAGTCTGTGGGCAAACAGTTCAGTGCCTCCTCTGTTCCCTGGCTGGGTTTCAGACCACCAGCATGAGTTTGCACAGCCACAGCCAGCTTGAATGTTTGCTGATAACACTGCAAACAGATTCTCCTTTTATCCAGTCCCAAAGGAAAAGCTGGGAGCAGTTGCACCCACATCCATCCTGCCCCAGCTCCAGGCACGGCACACATGGAAGGAAGATGCTCTTCAGGACGAGCAGAGAGGTCTGCAACCTCATTGCACATCCTAACGAAGCAACTCACCCTCTGAGTGCTTGCCGCCCAGCAGCGGGTAAATCACAGCTGAGACCGAGTCAATCACTACGATCTTGAGAGGTCCCATGGAGCTCACAACCTGGAAGAAGGAGGCACTGTGTGCAATGTGGAGTAACAAATCCTGCAGTTTTGGAGGTCCTGAGCTGCACAGAGGCTCAAACGTCCCCAGGGCAGGGTGATCTGGCATCACTCATCAGGCACACAAGCCTTCCTGCCCTCCTTGCAGCACTGGGGAAGGGAGAAGGGCCCAGACCCTTGCTCCTACCTGCTGGGAGAGGCGATCCCGCAGCTCCTGCAAGGCTCTCAGCATTTCATAGATGTTGAACACACGGACCACCTGGATCCGCTGCAGAGCCTCTAGCTGCGGCACAAAGTGGTATCACCAACAGCCTCATTCCCTCCAGCTCCAGCTGCTACCAGCTCTTTGCATTTATACCATGCCATGGAGCCAGGGACCCTTATGTCTTCCACATTTGCCTCCACCCCGTGAACACCGTTGTCCCCATTGCACTGATGGAAGAAGCAATGCGGATTGAGCTCAGGGAACAAAAGTGTGACTACAGCAAGCCCTCCCCTTCTCCCCAGGAAAAAAAAAAACAACAAAGTGCAGTGTCTGTCCCTGAGCACGGTACCCACCCAGCCATGGCAGGAAGAGTTTGGACCCAAAAAAGCCCATGAGGACAAAGGCAGAGTTGGACAGACAAACCACCTCTGAGGGTTGTCTGCTGGCAAGAGCCAAGGCAGTTTCAGTGCGAGTGGAGAGACCAGCACCAGGGGAACTTGCCTGTTCTTCTCCATCCTCTGACCGGGCTCGAAGTATCTGGTAGAGTCGGGAGGCTGTGAACCCCCCCGTGGAGTCAAGAAACAGGACATGCTGCTTGAGGCCAAGAGACACGCTGGCTGCAATGCCCAGGCACACCTGGAGAGGCATGGACTGAGCATCAGCCAGACCTCCCAGGTCTCCCTGCTTCACATGCCTGAAGGCATCATCTTCACCCTACCTGTCCTCTCCCCTCTCCTCTGTGACACTCACCTGCGTTTTCCCACTGCCTGGCACTCCCATGAGCTCTGTCACTTCCCCTGTGTACAGCCCGGAGTCCAGCAGCTGGTCCAGGCTAGGGGTTGAACACAAGGTGGGATTATCAACACCCCTTCAGCCAGAACGGCAGGGGTATATCAGGAAGCAGCAGGCCCCAGATATTGGTCCCTAGAGTCCCCTTCCCAAATGCAGACAAGTGCTTCAGGCTCTGCTCCTTCCCTCCCATCTTCCCTCTCCACATGGTGGGCAAGAGCAGATCTGCAGCGTGGGGGCTACAAGAGAATAGTCCTGAGCTAGAGAAGAGCTGTGGTCCTGGGAGCAAGGTTTGAATACCCAGGGTTTCTCTGCATAGTCACTGTAACAACCCAGCAAGGCGACAGGGGAAAAGAAGAAATAAGGATATGCAATAGAGTAACTCATTTCCACGTCTGATCTAGACAGTTTGGACCATCATCACTCAGCAGTCCCCCCAGATTCATAACCCTCTTCTCTGGAGCCCTCAAGAGAAAGGCTGAAGGCAGCATGCTGTCTAGTCTGGAAGCGAGACACACAACCACTTCGCAAAAGGTGTGCAAGGACAACGGCAATGTCATTCCCTCAAGGAACACAGACCGGCTGGCTTTGCAGCCACAGGACATGAAGAATACTCATCTCTTGTTCACAAAAGGCAGAGCCAGGCTGTGGCTGGAAGTTTTTAAAACAGCTGCTGGGGATGGTTTGGACACCACTGAGCCTGCTCAGGGCACCACCACATTGAAATTCAAAGCCTGCGCTGGGCAACCATGGCCTTTTGCAGCAAGCCCAGCCCCAGGCAGACCTCCTGGCTCGCTGGGTAATGTACCCACCTTGGGCTCCCAGTGGGCAGGATGGCCGTGGAGCTCTTGAGCTCCTCATAGAGGTCTGCTCCATTGGTGGGGAAGGCAGAGAACTGGGCCAGGAGCACACGTCTCACTGCAACCAGCGCCTGGTGGGCAGAGAGATGTCTGGAAACGGGACTGAGGAAGTCCAGGGCCAAAAACATCTGCTGCAGAAGTTCCCCCCCCAGACAAGCCCATCCAAGCCGTGAGCTGAAGAGCTCTGAGCTCCCCAGTTAACGTACCAGGACTTCAGAGTCACCCTTTACCTTGTAAGACAGGGAACACTTCTGGGCAATGTCCTCCAGGTCTGATGACACAAAGTCCACCACTGCAAATAACATGAGGAACAAGAATTTGGAAGCCAAACCTGGACAGACCGCAAACACGACCAGCTTAAACAAAACCTGTCTGTGGGCACCAACAGGCAAAATGTGTGTGCCCTCTGCCAACACTCCAAGTGGACAAGCAGGATGCCCCACAAATTGAAGTATTGGAGTTTTTCCTCCGAGATGGCCCTGCTACCCATTGCAAAACAAATTGTTTCTTGCAAAACAGATCAGGGAGAGAAACTGGTAAAAATTCTCCCTGTTTTGCTCAAGAGCTGCCCAGTGCCATTTGATAGCTAGGGCCAGCCTAGAGAGTCCCCTTCTGCCAGCGTACCACAGTCTCACGGGGCTAGTGACTGACCCGAAGTGCCAGCCCTGGGCATGCCAGGAAGGGCTAAAGCCACAGAAATTAGAACAACTAGTGGCCCCATCTCTGCTCCCAGGAACCACTCCAAGATTCATTTTTTCAGACAGGTGTGTATGTTACGGGTTGAAAAAAAAAGTGGTAAAAAGCAGTTCTTATAGAGAAAACAAGGATTACAAAATCCATGGCTCCAGCACCCACAGGATCTCACAGACTCCATTTAACAAGAATAAAATGGTGTTTTTCTCAGCTCTAATCCAGCTTCTCAGAGCAAGTAAAGAATCCACTTGAAGTCTTTCCTTCCCCCTCTAAGAGCAGGAGGTGCCCAGGGTGCACTGTGCCAGGAACTTGGGCATTTTTCAGAGGGAAAAATTCACAAACTCTCCTGAAATGCCTTCTAGAAGCCATCAATTGATTGCCCCTCAAAGGGCCTCTGCAGAGACCCCTACCATGTCCTAACACTCTCCTGCTCCTATGGAGAAGTCCTGACTCATCACATCCACCCAGAGGGACTCAGAAGACACCCAGCAAGGACACAGGAGGGATATTGCACCAATACCACCTTTCCAGGGTACAGGGTGCCCTTCCCTGGCACAGGGACTGGAGCTGCAGCCCCCCAGGCTCCTGCAGTCAATACCCAGCGTGCTCATGGCAGACAACCTGCGCCCACCCTCCTTTTCTCTACAGGGCTCTAAGAAAACTCCCCACTGCAGCTTCTGGGCTGCAAGCCAAAGCCACAGAGATGGGAGATATTTTCCAGGGGCTGCCCCACAGCTCAGACCACCCAGCCTGGCAGATGGGTCCTGTGCAGGAGAGCACGGTGCCACCCCAAATGTGCAGGGGATGACATTCCCCAAACGGAGACCCTGCCGTTGCTCCGTTACCTGTCCTGATGCCGTTCGCCCTGAGAAGCTGGATCATCTCTTCGGTGAGACCAGGGCAGAGCCCGGCCCGCAGGACCACCATGTCCTCAGCCCCCCCAGGACGCAGCACCACAGGGCCAGGAGGAGAGGAGACCTGCGGAGGAGATGGGAGAGTGGATTTGGCACCATCCTGACACGGACGGTGCCTATCCCGGGAGCTACACGCGCTGGGGAGACGCTACCCAGGCTGTGTCTGGGATGGGTGGTTACGGTGAGGGTTTAGTCTCCCTTTGGGGCCAAACAGCCCCAAATCCTGCAGCCGGCTCCTGCTCACAGCAAGCGAGCGAATGCCCATCCCAGCTATCTTCAGCAGAGCCCTTCGGGGCAAACGCCCCCGTATGAACACAGAAAACCCTCCAACGAGTTTCCCACCCCATCCTCACCGCCCTGCCTTCCCTTTACACCCCCAAACGCACCTCCCGCTCCCCTCAGTGCCCAAAGCCAGGCTGCCCAGGGGCCCTGACCCCAGGCCCCTGCCCGCTCCCCTTCCTGCTTCCTGCAGGCAGCGGAAGAACCAGGCAGGACTCATATTTGCACTCCCATCTAGTGGCTGCACAACCGGCCTCCAGACCCACATCTAAACTCCTGGGCAACCTCCAGCCCCTCCAACCACCACCGCTCTCCCCCCCTGTGAGGGGTTGCCCGGGGGTTTTGGCCCCTGGTTCCCCACCGGGCCCAGCAAAGACCCTGCGAGCAAACGGGTCTGACTTCTGGTCCCGTCCGGTGGGAAGCGCTGCCGGTTTCTGCTTGCAAACACCCCTCCGGAGCGAGCGTCTCCCCTCCTCGCTGGTCCCAGTAACGAAAAACCTCGCCAGCTGCTGACACCCAAGGGTGCTTCTGGAAGTACACAAAGACAAACAGGAGTTTTCAGCTCACGGCACAGCCCAATACCAGCAGGGACACTGGGGGAAGCACCAGAGCCTGCTCAGGAGCTGCAGCAAAAGAAACAGAAATAAAAGCTCCCCCCTTATCTATAGCAACTCCCCCAACCACCAGCTGTCTTTAAATGACCGTAGCACAGGTGCCAGCAATGCCATGGCTCCCAGGCTCTATAAATAACAGAACCAGAGTCTGGGCTAACTGGTTTTGGGGAGTAGGCGATGCTGCTGGGGGAGGCTGGGGAGAATCAAGCAAGCTAGTTTAAAAATTGAGAGAAAAAGTGAAGAAGTAGGAGATTGAAGTAAGGCTACTCTAGTCTTTTTTTACAGAGTTCTGTGTTTCTAAGTAGAGCCTGTTTCACTTTTAAAAGTATAGCTTGTGTTCAGAGCTAGGTTTTTCACTCCTGGTGTAGCTGGATAGACCTATGGAACCCTGCAGAGATAATGGGATTTGAGGGCTTGCTGGGAGAGCAGCTGATGGGAATAGGAAAAAAACTTTAATTACAATTTCTGAAGTTAATTCAGAGATGAACCTGAGCTCTATGTAAACATTTTAACTGCCCTAAACTTGCATTAGGGGCTTGGGGGCAGCTCTAAAAGGGATTACATGCAGCTTTACCCTGGTCTCTAATGCTGGGTTGGAAAAAAGCTCAAGCCCTGTGTGCTGAGCACAGCTACCTCTGCAGCCCTGCTGTTGCTCTAGAGGTGCCAGAGCTCATCCTGGGATTTTTCTGGAGGATAATTTCACCATGGACCTTGCCGGCTCTTTACAAGGTCCTGGATTAGAAGGTGGCTTGGAGCCACGAAGTAAGGTGGGATCCCAGGACCGGGTTTGGCAAGTCAATGTCTGCAGTTGGGCTTGCAGGGTGGAAAATGAAGGTGCAAGGGGAGAGCTCTGCCCCGAAAGGGGCTTGCCGTAGGGGAAGCCCAGGGATTCTTCCCCTCCCTGGCTGCCGGGGGCTTGAATTTCCCCAGGAAAAGTTGGGTTTTTTCCTTTTTTCTTTCCCAGCTGAGGCCTGAAGAGGGCCCCCCGCACTAGCTGCTGCCTGCCCTGCCAGCCACTTCAGGGGCTATCACAAAATGCATTAACACATCTGCTCCAGCTGCAGGAAGGCAGAGGGAGAAGGTAACCCCCGGGGCCGGCACCCCCGTCCCGGGCAGCTGCTCTTCTTTCCTGCCGGTGCGGTGTCATCACCGATACCCTGTCCCAAAAACGCAGACCAAGGGGAGCTGAGGCCGCTCTTAGCTCTGCCTTGAACGTTAGCAGTACGAAACAATTTTATTTTGTTGTTTAGTTTACTTGAAGTACCTGCAGTGCTGTTGCTTGTGAAAATGAAGCCTTTATTCTGGATAACTTGAGAAAGGCTGTGCTATATACACTGTGAGTACTGAAATGAAGAAAGCTGACCCTTCCCCTGTACCTAAAGCAATGTGGGAAGGGGTTTCTGGTGTGTTAGTCCAGGTGAGTCCTAGAAAAGCCACTGTACTGAGCTTATCCAAGGCAGAGATGGCCTCTTACACCCTCCACAGATGTGGTCCTTGTGCCTTGGACCTACCCCCAAACAGGTGAAGGTGTTTGAGCTGCCCTTGATGGAGCCGCCTGCAACTGCTGTGCAGGTGATGTGCTGTGAGGAACTTCCAAATTGCTTTGCAATCATCTCCTGCCCGGATACCAGGGATCAGGCAGTGCTGTTGGTGCAGTGTGAATAAAATAGGGGACCTGAACAGGGCAGTCTTGTGCTGATTCTTGCTGCATAAGATCAACAAGCCACCACACAGACCACCAGTATTAAATATAACTGGTTTGTTTTTTTTTCTTTGCAGTGTCTCAGTGTGGAAATGCGTTGTCTGCTATAGCTCAGCTCTGCAGCATAAGCCTGATGGGAGCAACTGAGTCAATACCAGTCAGCCCGTGCTCCCCTTGGTCATTTCCTGATCCCTATTTCTAATTTCCCCATTTACTTTATTGCTGGGATGCTTGTAGGTACACTCAGGGAGGCAAGGCCTGTGTTTTGGGGGAGGTAAGCTGCAAAGGAGAGTTCCTGATTTAATTTCCTGGGAAACAGGGGGGTTTGAAAGGCTCAGCTCTTTCAGAGCTCAGTGTTGCTCTGTCTACTGGTGTCATTCAAATTGAGACCCGAGACACTCATCACAGCAGTGGGCCAATATACTCCAGTACAGACATCTATGTTAGTCTGTGCCGGTGGGCTGCCAAACAAGGGCAGGTTGGCAGTGCTGGACATGGGTGGGATTCCAGCGGGGTGGGCTCCCAAAGGCCCTGCGAGGAGGAGGCAGGACTGGGTGCGAGTCGACGTTCAGTCCCAGGGTGTTCTGGAAGGTGCTGGGCACTGCTGCAGCTGCTGGCGTGGGGCCGCTTGTCCCTGAGGCTCAGCTGTCTCATGCTTCCCTAAATAGAAAGGGAAAAGGGTCTGAGCACTGCAATGGGGGTCAGCCATCCCAGCCGCGGGCTTTTTTTGGCATGAAACCCCCTCATTCCTGCTCCCCACACCCAGTGCAGCTCTGCAGGTAGAGGGAAGCTGGGATTTGCCCCAGTGGGTGGGAGAGGATCCCCTCTTGCTGCAAAGAGGTGCTGCCCGCTTGTATGCAGGTGTCCCCCCCCTGAGCTGGACTGGCTGCCGGGGGCCCTGGCTCAAAGCCTTCCCCAGGCACTATATAGCACAGGGGGGGACGAGGAGGAGGACAGGCTGCGGTGACAGGTGACGCTGACAGGCAGCAGGAGCTGCCAGGTCCTGCCCAAACTCGGAGTGGGAGGCGAGCTCTTTCCTGAGCCGCACGGACCCTCCGTGGTGCTGGCGGACTTCTTTAATTCTTACTTTTTTTGTTTTTTCTTTCTTATATTAACTGACTCCTAAGGATCTACGGCCCTGGGAAAAACTTCTGAGAAGCCACAGCCTTGAGGAGCAATTTAGGTCTTTGCTTTCAAAACTCTTCAGTCTGGTAAGCTGCTTTTATTAATGTGTGTGTTAATTATATGCTGGTCTCGTGGTGAAACTCAGCTTGATGGAGTAGGCAGGTGACCCTGGTGACACAGGCAGTTGAAAATGGGACACAAATTGATGTTTTTCCTTAAAGCTCTCCAGATGGAGGATCCCATCCAGCTGAAAGAGGAGGGCAATAAATATTTTCAGGCCAATGACTACGAGAAAGCTGTTCAAAGCTACACTCAAGCCATAAAGCTCAACAAGGACAAGGCGCTGCAGGCAGTGCTGTACAGGAACAGGGCAGCGTGTTTCCTCAAAAAGGTGAGAAAAGCTCCCAGCTTGCCTGGGTAGTGCTCAAGGGGAGGAGAGCAGGGAGGCAGCTAAGGGTGTTCGCCAGCTGCGGACTGTGTGGTTTGTCTGTTTATTGAATAGGGCGTTTGCAAACTGGTCTGAAATTTTGTTCTGGGCTTGTCCTGGAGCTGTAAAGCTGCCTCCTTGCTTCAATCCTGATGGGGCTGAGCACACCGGTTCAACTCAGAGATGGTCCCACTTAATCATTTTGAAGTAAAAGCTTTTGGCAGCCAGCCTGCTCCACACTTACGGGAGAGCTCTGTAAGCCATGGGTTGGGGTGCAGAGGTACTGCTCTTGCTGTCTGCTCCGGCACAAAAGAAGCAGACACAGATCTTTAGCAAAACAAAAAGTTATTAGCATCTGCACCATCATTGTCTCAGCTCCCTGCAGTCAGCTTGTAGCAACCTGCCGTGGGATTTTAGCAGATTGCTTGCGTGTTCCTGAATTGTCACTAACCCAGAAGTGACACCAGCCCAGAACAAGCTGCAGACAGGCTGTTGTGAGTATCCTGTCTTCTTTCACTGTCCATGATCTGCTGCTGCATCAGCAAGAGCATATGTTGTCTTGCCTGCATCACAGACCTTTTCCTCTTCCCCCCCATCAGTGATGAAAAGGCACCTAAACCCCCATCTTCCCTTGTGTAGGCTGCTGCTTGCTTCACTGGGGTGTCCTGTTAGTAAGTGGGAACAGAGAGGTCACAGTGTGCATCAGCAATGGGGACATGCCCTGTTATTCCACTGCTAACAAATCTCTCCTTTCTGGTTTAACAGGAGGAATATGCCAAGGCAGCTTCAGATGCATCTAGAGGTAAGGAGGGGGGTGTTTTGAGAAAGGACAGCTGCATTGCTGGGTATGCTCGCTCCAGCCTGCACTCACATCTGGTTTTGGGTCACTGTGGTCCTATTCTTTGGTGTCCACTAACACCCAAGTGCTGAGGCCACAAGGGAATTAATGGAGAAGGTACGAAAGAAGATGCACCTATTTGGTGCATCTGTGCAATTGGTGCCAATCAGGTACCCATTCGTTCACGATGTTACTAAGTATGTCTTAAGGAGCTGTAGTCACTGTAAAGCAAATCACAGTTTACACAGAGCATTTCCACGAAGCAAACTCTGATGCCTGATGTTTTGGATCACTTTCCCAGCTATTGACATCAATGCTTCAGATATCAAAGCCTTGTACCGGCGCAGCCAAGCTCTAGAAAAATTGGGGAAATTGGACCAAGCATTCAAAGATGCTCAGAAATGTGCCACCATTGAACCCCGCAACAAAAACTTCCAGGAGACCCTGAGGCGACTGGGGGCCAACATCCAGGACAAGGTAAATGCTGGGGGAGCAGTCCTGGGTTCACAGATGGGGTGTGGGAAGTCCTTGCTCTGGGTTACGCTGATGGATTGTTGGTCATATTGGAAACTCATAAAAATGGAGAGGGATAAATAGGCTCCATTAACTGGAAGTTCATACTTGATGCATGTAAATCTGAGGATCATATTGAATGGTTAAATTAAGAAGCGTGGCAGCTCACTCCTAAGGCTGGCCTGGTCCTGAATGTCTTGGTAAGGTCCTGGGAAGGAACTGGACCAGCTTTGGACTGGGTCTGGCAGCTGCCACGTTGACTTACCTTTATGGGGGTGCTGTGGAAAAGTCCTTGCATCACTAGGTACCATGAAGTATCAGAAATGATGGTTAGGGCTGGCTCTGCCCATGCCCACCAGTTTGAGGTGGGTAATTGACGCTGATCCCTGAGAAGTGATGCCTATTTTGTTATTCAGCTTAAACTGTCTGTGGTTTGAGGGTCTGTGGTGTCCCTGAAGTGATAGAAAATTGAGGAGCAATTTTCCTTTCCCTTTGATGCGCCATGCAATCTCTGTTGGCATAGCTACGCATTCAGTTCTCCACGGACTCGAGGGTACAGAAGATGTTTGAAATCCTGCTGGATGAGAACAGTGAGAAAGAAAAGCGAGAAAAGGTGAGAACCGTCCTGGACTTGACAGGACAAATTGCTGTTGTTTAACGTCAGAGGCAGCACCGAGGAGCGGAAGGCTGCATTCCCTTCCCCACCTTCCCCAGACAGAGCAGAAGGTAAGGAGCTGGGAGATGAACTGCACTCAGAGGGACAACTGAGAGGGGAAATGCCCCGAAGAGGCATCACCCTTGTGCAGTGGGAAGGTGGACCGACCTCCCAAAATTCCAAAGGTGGGATCAGACTGGAATTCTGCTCAGGCCCATCTCTGCCACCTTCCCCATGTTTCCCTCCAAGCAGTGACCCACTTTTCTTGGGCAGAGCAAAGCTGATCCCCGGATGGACCTGGAGAAACTGTCTGGTGGGGTCTGAACTGGTCTACTCCATCCGTCAGGAGATGGCCACCCCACAGCTCCCACTGGGACAATCCCAGAGCCTCACAGAAGTGTTTTGGAGGCTGCTGTGTTAGCAGGCTGTGCCGCTGACCCCTGGTTCTTCTGTCTCCCACCCAGGCTGCAAACAACCTCATCGTCCTGGGGCGGGAGGAAGCGGGTGCCGAGAGGATTTTCCAGAACAACGGGGTCAGCTTGCTGCTGCAGCTGATAGAAACCAAAAATGCTGACCTGATCCTGGCAGCTGTCAGGACGCTTTCGGGCATGTGCACAGGACATAAGGCTCGTGTAAGTAATGGGGTCCTTGAGACTTCTACTGCTATTGCCTTGCACCTGGGGGAATGGAAAATTGCAATAGTTCACGATGTTTGTGTACCGTGGGGATTTCTTCTCTTCCTCCTGGTTCTTGCAGGAAAAAATGAAATCCTACAAATCAAATTTTAAATTTGAGGGCGGGGGGGGGGAGTACAAATAATTATGCGAGTGGGGTTAACACAGACTATTGAAACTGTCCCTGTTACTGTGCTCCTCATCTACGGGGTCAAAGCTGTATGTGTTCCTTACGGTGCCTTCATGTGTGCTGGTGAAGTAAAATTTACACTGAGTTGTTACCACAGAAGTGGTGAGCATGGCTGGGTCAAATCCACGTCCTTCAGAGGTCTCAGAAAAGCAACTAATAACAACTAACTTTGGGGAAGTTTTGTCCAAGGCTTAGATGAAGGAAAGCAGGAAGGATCTACAAGAAAGTTAAGGTTCCTGGGAAGGGTCCCAAGGCAAGTTGCTGGGGTCTCTGAGCCAGCTAATATCTGACTCTATACCAAGACAGTTGTTATAGTGTAAAACAGCTCATAAGAAGCCCTGTCTGTGTTACATGGTTGGAAGCAGGACATGGATATGTGCAAAATGAATATGCCTGTCAGTGTAACGGTGCAAAGGAGTGAGGGGAACTAAGACATAACAAAAATAAAATCTACTGGATAAAAATCCAGTGCAATGGAGACCTATTTTCTTTTTCTGAAACATTAACTGTTGTCATATGCAAAAAGGCTGTTCTGCAAAGCCCACTAGGTCAGTGTGTTTCTGAACATGCCTCCCTTGAATTACTGAAGTGCCACCATGCATGGGGACAGGTTGTGTGATGACACTGGGTTTGCTCACAGCCAGGATGGGGTTTGTGCACTAAACAGGCTCTTTGTTAACAGCCTTGCATGAAGGCCTCTTCCAAACCCAGCCACACTCTTCTCAACGTCCTTGTTGGAAATAGATTGTTGCATTACTGGCAAATCTAGATTTTAGGAGTTGTCTTATAAATGAAAATAAGAGTGAAAAGCAAACTGTGTCTTGTACTGGCTTGGGATTCACCCAGGAAAATACCAGGAGTGTGTAAGCTGAGGCTGACCTTTCTAAATCATGCAGGAAGGGAAGGCTTGTACCCTTTGCTAACAGCTGCCTTGCTCTCTCCTTTCTGAGGCCAGGCTACCGCCATTCTCCATTACCTGGGCATCGACAACATTTGCATGTGGATGTCTGTAGACAATGAAGAAATCTCCCTGGCTGTCTGCAACCTCCTGCAGACCATCACTGACTGCTTGTTGGGCCAAGGGAAAGAGGAGCATCACGGGAAGGAGGAGGCCGTAGTGCTAGGTAATGGTGCATGACCTGGTGGTCCTTCAGTCTTGCTGGAGGAGAAGCGGGGTGAGCAGGGAGGGCTCTGCTCCTGGGATGTCCACCTTATTCCTTGTTCTCTGGTGAAGCGGGGTCTTTACCCTTCAGCTGTCCAGGATGACAAACTGCACACAGCTCTTATTCTCATCGTGTTAACTTACCTATGTTCCAGCTGCACAATGGCTTTCAATGGTTTTCACTGGGTTTATCAGCTTTTGAAGAGAATTTCTTGTAACTGGCTGCTACTGTCTTGCTTCTGAGTAGATACTAAAAAAGATTTGAGGATGATCACAATGCGTTTGCTGGATATGCTGGTCAGTAAGGAAGTATCTGGGCAGGGACGAGACCGAGCTCTCAACCTCCTCAACAAGAATATACCGAGGAAAGACCTGAAGGACCATGACAACAGCAGGACCATCTTTGTCATCGACAATGGTGAGTCCTTCCTCTCCATCCTGTTCTGGTTTGGGAGATGTGGAGCTGCGTATTCTTGCCTGAATACCTGTAGAAATGATCCTCTCTATAAAATAAATCCTCTCTGGCTTTTTTTGTTGTTGTTGTTCATGCAAGCCTAGAGCAAAGTAAGACTTGGCAGGAAATAGTATTGAGATTAAGAGAAAAAAACTGTGTATGAGAACAAGAATTTTTCAGTTTTGAAAGGACTGACTTAACTTCTCTGGTTAGTTTATTCCAATGTATTTGCTAATGTTAGGAGGATTTGGGTTGGATAAATGGTCTAGCTTAGGAAGAGATGAGCACCCACTGCACTTGCTGGATCCTTAAACTGGTCATATCTAAGACTGGAAGGGGGTGAGGAATTTGTGTGGCATGTGTTTTTATACTAATTCCAATGCATGTGTATGTTACCATTTTGGTGGAAGTTTTTTAATAACACTTTAGCAAAAGGAGGGTTAAGACATCCACAATCACTTGAAAGTCAATGACTTTTCCTCAGTCAAAGCCTCCAGCCTTGGAGGTCAGTAGGTTTAATGCCTCCTGATAAAAATAACTGATCCAGCCAGGGACCAAACGCACAGTTTTGCTTATCTTACCCGAGAGCTGGATAAAAGTCTGATGCTGCAAAGCTGTAATCTCACAAGTAGAAGCTCTTCCCCAGTAAATATCCCAGTGTCGTCTTTGTTTAAGGCTTATGTGATTAGGCTGCAAAATGATGGAAAACCATCCAAGCCAGCTATTTCACTGCAAGAAACCAACAAATAGTATCTTGAGTTTTTTGTACAGTCCCTCTCCCCTCTAACGGCCATATCCCTCCATTGTTTCCAGGCTTAAAAAAGATACTGAAAGTGGTGGGCCAGATTCCTGAGATGCCTGACAGTCTGCCGCTGACAGAGAACACCCAGCTGACTGCCTCCGTCCTCCTAAATAAACTTTATGATGACCTGCGCTGTGACCCAGAGCGTGACAACTACCGGGTGATCTGTGAGGAGTACATCAAGTGAGTCAGGGCTGGCTTACTGGGGCTGAGCTGGCCCAGAGGCATGGGAGCAGGAGGGTTTAAGGATGAGATGAGGCACTTGCGATCCACTTAGATGCCAAATTGAGGTCCTGGGAGACAATGATTTGCTTGAGATCCTGCTGGATCCTTCAGCTGGGATCCTCAGATCCTGGATCACAGCCTTTATATGAATTTGGGCTCAGCTGTGTCCCAAATACATACATATATATATATACACACATATACATATTTCAGCAGTGGAGCTTGGCTCTCAATCTGAGGGAGGACGTTCGCTGCCCAAGGGAATGAGAACTGTAAGCAACTACTGTTCCACATGCTGACTTCCTCTGTCCCATGCAGGAGCAAAATTGACCCACAGGACATGGATAAGACACTCCATGCCATCCAGATGGTGTCTGGAGTTCTGCAAGGGCCCTTTGACTTGGGCAACAAGCTGCTTGGCATGAAGGGAGTCATGGAGATGATGGTTGCCCTGTGTGGGTCCGAGAGGGAGATTGACCAGCTGGTGGCTGTAGAAGCCCTCATCCATGCCTCCACTAAGCTGAGCCGGGCCACCTTCATCATTTCCAATGGGGTGACGCTCCTGAAGGAGATCTACAAGAAGACCAAGAATGAGAAGATCAAAATCCGAGCCCTGGTGGTAAGGATGGCAGGCCCTGCCTCTATCGCCTGCCACACTCACCAGCTTAACCCTGGACTTGGGGCAAGGGGGAGGTCCTGGGAACATGTTGGGTTCAGTCACCTCAACTGGGGAATGGTTTATGGTGCTTCCCCCTACAAGAAAGGGGGAGATGGCAGATCAGGAGAATACATGGACTGTTGGTAACTTTGAAGGCAAAACTGGTTAGTCTTCTATTAAAGACATCCAATAAGAGCAAAAAACCTTACTTTGCTCTGCTACAAGTTGAATGATCTACTGGGTATTAGAATGCTTCCTCTTTGTTAGACCTGACTTTAAACTTTAGATATGGGATTAGGCTGTTTTGGGGCAGCAATGCTAGAGGATTAATCAACCTTTCTCACTGGTGTACCTTCTTCATTCTCCTCAGGGTCTCTGCAAGCTGGGCTCAGCAGGAGGTACAGATTATGGACTGCGGCAGTTTGCTGAGGGCTCCACTGAGAAGTTAGCCAAACAGTGCCGAAAGTGAGTGACTTTACTTTTTTCTTCTGTTGTTCCATACTTTGCAAAATACAATATGCCCCTTTCCCCAGAGATCCTGCCTGCATATTGCCTTCATTTACTGTTGCTGCCTAACAGCTGACAGTGCCCCCAGAGGCATTGCACTGGAACCTGGAGTTCTTCTGTGCCTCAAGCAACCATATATTCCTCCTGCCTCAAGAACGAGATAAGCCTTCTCCCTCCCTCACTTCCCCTGTGAGACACCAGGCATGGTGCCAGCATGGTACAGCTTAATCAAGTGCTATCTAGAATATGCACAAGTACCTTCTGAAGGTGAATTTACCAGGTGAACTAGCCAAGGAGGTGGGATGGATTTAGGAAGTGACAGAATGGGTGATCATTGCTGCTGGCACTGGATAGCAGGGCATCATGTGTTTCATGTGATGGTGAAGGCAAAGCAGTGCTGAGCAGCTGTCCTGGTCTGTCCCTGCAGCATTTAGATCCCTTAAGTTGGGCCATGGGAGGAAGGTCGTGTCTCGAGGGAAGAAGCACCCACAGTCTTTAGTTGCTGTAGCAAAACCCAAGTACATTTTTGGGCCTGAAACCATCTTAACAGCTGTTTTTTTCCTTCCTCTTCTCCCAGAGAAATCAGTCCTGGCTCCTGAGATAGAAATGCAGATGTTTTTCTTTTCCAGATGGTTGTGCAACACTAGCATTGATGCCCGGACCAGGAAGTGGGCTGTGGAAGGGCTGGCGTATCTAACCCTTGATGCAGATGTGAAAGATGACTTTGTTGAAGATGAGCTAGCCCTGCAAGCTATGTTTGAATTAGCCAAGGTCTATCTCCTTACCTTGTTCCCTCATTCCTCTGGTAGCATCAAGTTCTCTCAGCTCTCCAGCCCAATGCTGTCTCCCCAGGCAGGAGGAGCTGTGACCCCAACCCCTCACCTCTACTTTATCAAAACGTCAGTTTTGCCTGTGCCACGGAGATACCTCAAGGCTGTTATCATCCTGCTCTTCTCCCAAGGCTGAGGAAGGTTGCTTCTACCTTTACTGTCAGCAACTGCATGAAAACCAAAGGCATCAAGGTGTTGACAGCATCTGATGATGTCAAACAGCCTGTTGACCATAAAAACTTTTGTTTTTCCCTGCACTGGGCTATAAAGCTGGGGATAAGGCTAAGAACGCTTCAGCTAGTGTAAACCACCACAATGGCAGTCCTAAGGGACCTGTTTCCTTGCTGTGTCCTCCTCACCCTCACATAAACTTTTATTTTTGCATGCAGACAAGTGACAAGACTATCCTGTATTCTGTGGCTTCTGCACTGGTGAACTGTACCAACAGCTATGATACCAAGGAGCTGGTCCCAGAGCTGGTGCAGCTGGCAAAATTCTCCAAGCAGCATGTGCCTGAGGAGCATCCAAAGGTAGGTTGTCTACAGCCGGGGAGCTGGGAGGAGATGCTTGGATCTCAAAGCTTTCTTTGGTGTATCCATTGGCACAGACCTCAGGTCTCCTGTCTCTGAGGCTGAAATTGCTTTGCTCTCCAACCAGGTTTGGCTGTAGTCAGCGGGATGGCAACTACTAAGGGGCTAATCCCTTTCCAATGTCTCCCCTCAGGATAAGAAGGATTTTGTGGTGAAGCGGGTGAAGCGGTTGCTGAAAGCTGGCGTCGTCTCTGCCTTGGCCTGCATGGTGAAGGCAGACAGTGCCATACTGACAGACCAGAGCAAGGAGCTCATCGCCAGGTACCTTCATTGCTGTCGTGGGAGCCAGGAGTGCTGGCCAGCCACGTGCCACTGAGATGGGCACCTGGGCTGGCTCCTTGCTTCGTGGGATGGTGCATTCTGCCTATGGGGGAGGGATGAAAGGGAGATGGAGAAAAGATTTAAATCCAAAGTTTTTCTTAAGCAATGTCACAAAAATCCATGTTCTGACCTTGAAGCTGGCTTACAGGGCTGCCTTCCTAGGATGCATTTTGAATTTCTAGTCCTCTGTACTGGTTTTGGCTGGAACAGAGTTCATCTTAGAGGCCTGGAAACTTTTCTATGCCATTTGTTGCTCCTTCCTAGAGTGCTGTGGGCACTGGGTTAAACATCTGGAATTTACCTGGTGGATCTGGCACCCCTGCAAAACTGTAGCCCCCTTCCATGAGGGATGTGGGTTGTTATTGCCTTCCCGTGTGGCTGTTTCACTAAGTGATGCTGTGCTTCTGCAGGGTGTTTCTTGCCTTGTGTGAAGACCCCAAGGACCGTGGGACTATTGTCGCTCAAGGTGGTGGAAAGGTGATTACTTTTATGTTTGCAGCCCAACCTGATGTGCAGTTAATGTCTGCTGGGAGCCTATGATATGTCTACAGTGAGGGAAGGTGACAGAAAAGCATGAGCTGTCTTGGTGGCCCCTGGGGCCCAGACTGACACTCCAGTCCTATCTCTGCAAGCCTCCAAAGAAGCAATCTTCTTTAAACAGCTGTGTGTGAGCTACAAGCTCTGGTGTCGTGCCTATTTGAGAACAAAAGCAAGACATCGCTGTGGGCTACAGTCCAGACCCATTTCTTCAACAGACACATCTTTAGGATATTTTAAAGTTATTTTGGTATATTAAGGCAAACCTGTAAATCTTCTCACAAGCATTGAATGGTTTCCTGTGTGTCACTAGGCCCTGATACCTCTGGCTGTGGAAGGCACAGAAGTTGGCAAGATAAAGGCTTCTCACGCTCTGGCGAAAATTGCTGCAATCTCCAATCCAGACATGGCATTCCCGGGAGAGAGGGTAAGCTTAAAAAAAAAAAAAAAAACCCACCAAAAAACCCCCTTTTAATTCCTCTAGCAAATGAAAATTGCCAAGATCTGAGAGCTGGAAAAGCAGTGATATGCCTTCTCTTCTTAGGTGTACGAGGTGGTGAGGCCCCTTGTCAGCCTGCTGAACACTGAGAGGGATGGCCTCCAGAATTACGAGGCTCTGTTAGGTCTCACTAACTTTTCAGGAAGAAGTGATAAACTTAGGTGAGTTTAACTGCTTTTTGACCTTCTTTCTTCCCCAGGAGTGAATGTGAATTTCAGTTCAATGCTTTTGTTGTAGGACTATGAAGACTGGTCAGGTTGAGCTACCTTTGGCAGAGCTGCAAAGGTCTCAGACCTAAAAGATTAATAAAATAGCTGGGAAAACGAAAGTGGCACACTTTCCTCAGAAAGAGGAAAGACATGAACCTAATCTGCATAGGGAATGAACCACATGTCATGAGCTCCAGGACACTGATTTGTTTCAAGGCTTTTCCCTGTCTGCAGTTAATATTTTTTAAGTTGGTTATTGCTTGTCCCATGATGTATTTTATTTGACTGCTCTTCAACACAGGATGAAGATAGTCAAAGAGAGGGCCCTGCCAGATATTGAAAACTATATGTTTGAGAATCATGACCAACTTCGGCAGGCAGCCACAGAGTGCATGTGCAACCTGGTGGTCAACAAGGAGGTAACTCACTGGGCATCTTAAACTTGACTGTGTGTACCAGTTCGTGAGCCCCTGTGATGAGGCATTCCTACTCGTGTTATCTCTGGATATCATGAGGAATTTTTTTAGGTGCAAGAGCGTTTTGTGGCTGATGGAAATGACCGGTTGAAGTTGGTGGTGCTACTGTGTGGTGAGGATGATGAGAAAGTCCAGGTTGCAGCAGCCGGAGCCCTGGCCATGCTTACAGCAGCACAAAAGAAACTCTGCTCTAAGATGACTGAAGTGGTAAGACCGTAAGTCTGATTATTGGCAGTGTAGACATACCCTTGAAGGGGCCTGGCTCAGTCATGAAAATGCCTCTCAAAAGGAAGAGGTAGTCTACCAGTTTGATAGTGAGGAACTTGGTGAAGTTGAGACCTATGTGTGCATGCTTCTAGTCCATCCCTGCACAAAGCAAACCAGCCTGCCTTATACTAGACTTCATCTCAGAGCTGGAACACTTCTATATAGCCATTCCTCAAGCTAAGTCCTGGATGCTAACTGTCAAGCAAGGTTAGGAATGCAGAATATTATTCTATAGGACCTCAAAGCTTTTGATACATAACCTGAAATCCAAACCTGGTTTCACTCAGAAGTGAGAAAAGCTTGATAGTCCACCTATTGAGCTTTACAGATCCCAAACCATCTCCATTTCCTGCACAGATCTGTAGGTCCTGAGAACTCAGACCCTGCACAGCTGAGTATCTGTGAAGAGCTGAGGTTGAGAACTCATGAACCCTGTTGTGTTGCACACATGCTGATGTTGGACACTGGGGCTTGTTAGAATAAAAATGATTAATCAAGCCAAAGGAGGGGCTCGGGAAGATCAGTGGAGGGAGTGGGTGGTCTGCTGCTGGTCATCTCAGCTGTGTTAATACTCTGATCAGATTCTTTGCACAGAGATCATGCAACAGCCTAAACCTGAAATGTGTTTCATATGGTGCTAGTGTCATGAAAGCTTCTGACTTTAGCATAACAAAAAACAGGTTCAAAAGTTTGGAGTCAGGTTTCCTTAGTTAAAGAATCAACCGTACCTGACATGAGTATTGAAGAGGGGAGTCCCTGTGCTTCCTTCTGCTGAGACATGCCTTGCCAAACTTGCATTCTTGGCTGAGGTATTCTTTCAATCAATACTAATGATCTCTCTCCCTTGAAGACCACCCAGTGGCTTGAAATCCTGCAGAGGCTCTGCTTGCATGATAACATGAAAGTACAGCATCGAGGGCTGGTCATTGCTTTCAACTTAATCAGTGCTGACAAAGAGCTAGCGAAGAAGCTGGTGGAGTCAGAGCTCCTAGAGATCCTGACATACATCGGCAAGCAAGAAGATGACCCCAAAAAGCAGCACATCATTAACGTAGCACGTGATTGCCTCACAAGGTGCATGGATTACGGTCTGATCAAACCTCTATCTCAGGCATGAGGAGATGAAAAGCACCAAAAAGGGCTGAATGTGGGGAAAAATGCTACCGAGAAATGTGGAAAACTGAGAGCTGGGAGGAAAATCTAGCACTATTGTCAAGGCATGGAATAGTTTGGGGACAACTTCGGAGGATCAGAAGCTGTATGAGGAAAAGGGGGACATTTGCCTGGGAAATTTGGAAAGTGTCCATTTGAGTAATTCCCAAATGGTATAAATCCTTTCTTTGCCCCTGTTCAGCTGATAACGATGAAGGCTTCAAGGCCTAGCTGTAAAAGAGGTGGTTATGTTGGAAATGTGGCAGAGTGCTGTTGGAAGGAAACTCAACTGAGCTGAAATCTGTCCTGCATCCATCTACAGCTCCTGGTACTTCTGGAATTCCTAGCAATGGTGAAGCAGGGAGGGTTAAATGCCTTCTATTCTGTAGTCAGAAAATAGGTTGGGTTTTAGCTGTATGCTTTTTTGTTCATTTATGGTAACTTTTAAACAGCCTTAAGTGGTGTGCCACAGTGTGAGGGTGGTGGATGAACTCTTAATAAATTCACTACTTTGTTCCATGTGGAATTCCTGTTATGCTTTTATAAAGCAAATGGAGAATCTAAGGCAACTCCAACTTGCAGCCTTGCATCACACCCAGGAAGCTAGAATAATTGTGCCACAGGCTGAATTTTTACCACTTGTGAAATATCCAACCCTGCTCAAAACATGTGAAGTCGCCATAAAAGGCTGTACAAGGAGGTGGCACTAATGGGTTAAGCTGAGGTTCACACTGGGACACAGTGTTTGGCTCAACAGGGAATGTTGAAAATCTCATTTATGGAAGAAGTGGAATGAGAAGCAAACACACCAGTTGGTCATCACATTAAACTTTATTATATAAATGTTTGCATTCACATGATAGGTGTGGCATGATTAAGTGTTGAGGTTTGGGGGTTATGAAAGGAACCGGAGATAGTCTTTCCTTGTATGTTGATTAAGGAAAAAAGATGGAAAGTGCCTCTAGATTCCTGAAGTCAGAAAAGCAAGAAATTTTAAGCTAATAGGTTTGACAGCCTAATGGCAAATTTGTCTGGAGGCCGATTCCAGCTGTGTACAATGTTGTCTTGTAACCACATTCAGTTAAATCACTGGTGCTTTATAATCACACTAGGAGGATATTGGACTGTTCTTCCAAACCAAATGAATCACAGGTCATTCTGTGATGGAAGACGATATGGTTTGTTTTCAACCAGCCTTCAGTTTTGGATACCCAGTTTTAGGAATTTTGGATCTGTCTTTCAAAAGTATTTAGCACCTAACTCTATACAGAGAGTTTTATCTAACCAGCATGTCTGAAACCAAGAAAAAAAATGCTATTGGTATCTAAGGGCAGTTATACAAAGTTTTCCTTCCTCCACTAAAGCTCCTCTTTGGAGCAACTGGGTTCTTGTAACCTATACTGACTGTTGCTGAAATTGACTGGGGAAACTATTTCTGTAAAAGCCATTTGTTTGTATTTCTTAGCTAAAACATGGACAGAAGGCCCCATTTTTACTTTCCTAGATATCTGAATAGAGGCTGTGTTTTAAAAACAATGGCTTCTAACACCGGATGCCTATGCTGTTTGGTAACTTTTGTGAGCTGTGCTGTGAGTATGGGAGTGAGCTGGTAAAAGCCAGAAAGTCTTCCAGTTTCCTGTCTTGGCGTAGTGGCTTTCACTTGGCAATGCACCTGCATGCAGTCAAAGGCTGAGCATCAGGTTTTGCAAGTCCTTGAAAGGAGCCTTCAGGGAATGATGTAATTCTACTGACATTCAAAGTATCTCTTTTCTCTCCATTATTGAAACTTTACATTTGATTTAAAACAGACTGTAGAGGCTTCTCAAGAATGTCTGGGCTTTTAGAGAGGACCAGCCATTAGAAAGGAAATCCTTCTACTTCAGATACAGAGTAAAAAAATTTCAAACATACATAACCATTGACCTACTGGGGCCTTGTTGGGATCCTATGTGGTTACCTGTTCTCAGTTCTCAAATAACAAGTGTAGATTTAAATTAGCTCTGGATGCTACACAGACCAATATATTTCTTAAAATTTCCTTCTGAAACAGAAAGGGTTGAGGAATAATACCAAACACAATGCTGCTTTCTCAATGGACACTGTCAAGAATAGATGCTCCTCTAGCCTTCCCTCTGTTTTTCTTAATAATACATTTGACTTCTTAATTTCTAATGCTAGTATTCCACAGTATGCTCTTACTTCTTCATCTCTGTAGCACAGAATAGCAATATCTTTCTCAGAGTAACCCTTTTTAAGATATGTACAACAATGTTCTGCCACATACTTTGCTATACCATTTCTGACTACTTTGCTGAGCACATGTGGCTCTGCAGAATAACCTTTCCAAATATTGATTAGGAATTTTTAGGGTAGTGTACTTTACAATCATTTCCATATTTTCTTTTGTACAGCTATAGATACTGACAGCATTACAAACCACTTTGGTTAGTGACTTGACAGGATCCATGCCATGCTGCTTCTGGAAGACCAGTCGAGAAGGAGTGACTTGTCTGTAAGCAGTCCAAGAAAATCCAGAAAAAGCCAGGCTCAGGGAGATGTTGTGATGAAGTTAGAGTCAAGGCTTTGTTACAGCAATCACCTTCCCTATCTCAGAAATTCTGTGCTTCATAAATTATGTGCTTCACATCATTAAAGCTTGCCTTCTAAAAGGCTACTCTTGTCACAGCTTGGCAAATGTTTTTCTGCCTACAGAAGAGATACAAATAGATTAAAAACAGTCTCTGCATTGCAAACTATTGGTTATACTTGATCAGAACAAAGTGAACGCCCATGATATTGAAGTCATATTTATTAGTAGATGCTCAGGATTTCAGCAAAAGGATTTGAGCATTACTCAAAACACATCCCAGCTACATACTTTAAACACTGCAGTGGTGGTGGACCAAATAGCAGTTGTGGTTTAACCCCAGCTGCCAACTGAGAACCACCCAGCTGCTTGCTCACTCCCCCCAGGTGGGATGGGGAGAGAATCAGAAGGGTAAGTGAGAAAACTTGTGGGTTGAGTTAAAGACAGTTTAATAGGCACATCAAAAGCTGCACATGCAAGCAAAGCAAAACAAGGAATTCATTCACCACTTATTGTCGGCAGGCAGGTGTTCAGCCATCTCCAGGAAAGCAGGGCTCCATTACGCTAATGGTGACTTGGGAGGACAAAATACCATCACTCTGAACATCCCACCTTCCTCCTTCTTCCGCAGCTTTATATGCTGAGCATGATGTCATATGGTCTGGAATGTGGGTCAGTTGGGGTCAGCTGTCCTGGCTGTGTCCCCTCCCAACCTCTTGTGCACCCCCAGCCTCCTTGCTGGTGGGGTGGGGTGAGAAGCAGCAAAGGCCTTACTGAGATCTCACCTGTGACAGGAGCACAGCTTATTTTCAGTAGCATAGATTTGCCTTCCATGTGGCCAAATATTAAGCCAGAGAGCTGCAGGAGACAAAAACTCCAATGAGCATCTCCTCCAGCTTTGAGACAGGAGACAAGTTTCCTGCCTTGTCTGCCTCTCCTCTGAGTTAGCTCTGCTGAGGAACGTAGCTCTGCTTCTTGTAGCTTTGAGTTATGGTAAAACTAAAGCAGCAAGGACGTTAGTGTGTGCTAATTTTTGCTACCAGCTGGAGGAATTTTCCCATCCAGTTCCATGAGCATGCCTCTAGCTTGCTGCAACAGGACAGCCTGGCCGACTGCTGAGATCTCAGACTCCCTCAGTGTGACAGAAGAAAAGGACTTACCCCATCTCTTCTTCTTAGCTCTAGGCTAAAACATCAATATTTGAAATATCAATTTTAAATATTTAAGGATTTAAGTCCCAGAATTATGTGCAGTAGAAATGGGGTACAAAGCATCCAGAGTCTGTTACCTGCTTTCGTCTCTGCCCCCTCCCTCTATTAAAATCTAGGAGAAATGAAAAGTACTTTTTTGCTGGTTTCACTTCTCTGCCGGTTTTGTTTTCTTCTCCTCTGTGTTTCCTGTGATGAAGTACTAGTGTCCACAGACTTCACGGGATCTTTCTAGCTCTATCTGAAGTTCAAAACCAGTTTTTGCTGGGAGTTCAGCCTTCCGGAGCTATTACTTCCCTCCCGCTGGCACTCTTCTAGTGGCTAGGCCATATCAGAGGAGACAATTGAAAAAGATAGTTTAGAAGAAATCCCCCAACTTACAGCATTTACATACATCATTGTTTGTTCAGTCTGAAAAGTTGTTGTTCCATTAAACCTCCAGAGCTGCAAAGTCAGAGATACAGTTCTGGAACCTGGGAAGCAGGATAGCAAGCTAGAAAGTCCCATTCAGAAGATACGGTCTGAGTATTTTCATTTGCAACGTGAAATTCAATTTTCTTACTTTTTTGTACTGACAAAGTATGCTAAAGCTAATAATTTTATACTGAAATCATGATCATATACAACTTTCAGATGAAATAACTGAAGTTATGGATTAAAACCGTCTCATAACTTTTCCCCGTGAAAGTGATCCATGCAGGGGGGCACTTTGGAGCACTCTCAGTGTCGCCTCCCTCCGTGGGACAGAATTCCGGCAAAGGCACTGAGACTGGGGCAACAGTGAGGACTGAGAACAGGGAAGGTTGTGGGCTTGACTGCAAAGCCTTGAGAAGCCTCGCACAGCAGTGGCTGAGTGTGCCCATGGTATCTGCTCAACTAAGTTGTGTAGTTTTTTGAGGGGAGGTGAGAGAAAATGAAATAGTGTGGAAAAAGAGCAAGCTAGCGCTAGACTACAGAAACTTGCCTGCAGGACAGGAAGGAAACAGGAATGTATTCTGCGGGCAGGATTACACCTTCATGAACACATAAAAATGCTTTTTAGCTTTTGATTCCATACGGTGTAAAAGAGTCCCCTGGTCAACCCCCTTGGCAGGAGCCGGTGCTATACCCCCCGTTCCTTGCCTTGCCCCTTGTGTTCTCCTTTCTCTCCCTCTCCCTTCAGAATGCATTCTGGTGTCCCAGGCTCCTCTTTATTCATTACAAAGCACAGTTTTTTCCAGTTTAATTTTTCACAGTGCCCACCATGCTTAAGTGAAGACTTCCCTACCTTCCTTGCAGATTTCTCCTCTGTGGGCTGCACAGAGACAGAATGAAACCCACAGCTGTATGGGCGAGTTAAAAAGCTTTGATTTCTTGAACTCTGAGTCTCCCTACGTACTTACTACCTCACTGGGCTGTCTTTGCCCCTCAGATTGGATCCTCCTCTTGATCCCGCACAGAAAGGTCCCCAGCAGGGTCAGAAACCCCGTCCCCAGGAAAACCAGGTGAAATACATCTCCTGAAAAAGGAATGCATGTTACACAGGAATTTCTTGCAAACTGCTGCCCATCAAGAGGAACCGAGTTACTGCTTTAGAAGAACAGGATGAAGTTACCCATCTGGCCTTAAACAAGCAAGCATTTTAACTTATATATTGAATCATGACACCTTCCCTTCCAAAGCACCTTCTGTTCAATTGTTGGAATATTTTTATTTTATTTCTCCCACTTTTTTTTGTTTTGTTTTATTTCTTCCCTCTTTTTTTTTTCCTCAGTTGTTTTCACGGTGATACCAGACTCGTCACGCAGCCCCTTTGCCGTGGAGCCGTTGCTTCGCGATATGAGCCGGTCCCTCAGGACTGGACGGCGTTTGAGGCAGTGTCTTATCACCGCCTTCTGCCTCGGCTCAGCAAGTCTTGTCGCTGAGGAAACGGAAGAGAGAAACCACAGCGGCGGCCGCCAGAAGGGAAAGTCCGCGCTCCTCCGGGGCCGGGCCTTCCGTCTCCTCAGGGCGGGAAACGCTCACACCGCCCCGAGCTCCGCTAACGCGCCTTTCTATTGGCGCTCACCCGGGCTCGCCAGCGGGACCGCGCGGCGCTATTGGCTGTCGGCCGCCGGGTGGGTGGGACAAAGGCGGGCAGCGCCGCCTGGGCGTGGCTGGGCCTGCGTGAGCGGTGTGGGGTGAGGGCGGCTGCAGCAGGATATGGCGGCTGGGGGC